ATTTTTCAGGTGAAGTAAGATGCCCATTGACATCACTTACCATGTCTGTTTTTTCATCCCTGGAGCATACCAGCACATCCTAAGTTGATCTTTTCAGAGTGTTTAATCAGGTATGTGGCCATTTGTTCTCTCAACTCATTCACTCTCTGGAACCCAGTGGTTAAAAACATCTGTTTGGAATGGTCTGTGTGTAGCTGGCAATTAGCCAATTTGTTGGCAAATAAACACTTTATAGCAAGGTGTTTTACACCCACATTCTGAAGAGCAAGAAGGTATTTATTTTTCTCTTTCTTCCATAAGTCCCCAGGGACTGTACCCTGCCTTTGCCTTATGCCATTGCCTTGTGCAAGTTTAATGGGCTTTGAAACTGTATCTTTAGGAAAATTTTGAATAGATTTAATTTGAATATCTTGGGCTAACTACTGATAATATTGTTTATTCATCTGTGAATATTGGTAATTTAAATGTTGACCACTCATCAGCAAACAGTTGGAAATAGGAAATATTAGTTCTATATAAAAATGGCCAATATTTTTTACAAAATTAACTCAAACTTTATTTATAATTGAAATAACCTGATATGGACACCGGCCCGCAGTGTCCCCATCACTGTGGATGAAATGAGACATTCACACGGACTACTGTGTCCTGTGGAGAAAAAGGGACAGCATGGCTTTCACTCAAGGGGAGCAAAAGCCACAGCCCTTGCCATGACTGGTCTTTATTGGGTTTCTCGGCACATTCCATTATGGTCCTCATTTACTATGCACAGGTTGCTTTAGGTGGTTACTTTTCACAGAGAACAAAGGAGCCAATGCTGCTAATCACATCACAGAAGAGGGATATTTGCAAATGAAAAGGCAAGAGTGGAACCAGTTATACTCATCCTTGGAAGGTTTAGCATGAATTTTAGGAAGTTACTTTGCAGTAAATGTTTGCCCCTGGGGGTTGGGCCCACACCACACAAAATGGTCTCCTACAATAGCCTACGCAACATGCAAAATTGCAGATATCAACCAGGCAGCAGTTATAGTATATGAGGAAGGACCCCAAAAAGCTGGAATTTATTTATTAAAAATTATATATTTATTCTTACATGTTTAAACTTCAGTCACCTTCAAAGTACTCTCTATTTGATGTAATAGAGACTTTTTCCCACTGCTCAAAACAGGTTTTGAACTAATCAGTTTTGATGTCTTTAATGCTTCTGCCATTTTTTTTTGTTTGTTTCACCTCTGCCACATGAGCAAAATGTTTCCCTTTGAGCAGTTTTTTTCATCCAGGATAACAAAAAATAAACTTGCTCAGGGTAAGATCAGGTGAATAGGGAGCTTGGGGCACTGGGGACATGCCATTTTTGGTCAGAAACTACCGAACACTGAGTGGGTATGGGCACGTAAATCACCCATTATGAAATGAGCAAATGCATTGAAAGGGTCTTCAAAAGAATTCACTGAACACAGCCTCTCACAACAACACCAGCTGGTACACTGATACGGGTGGCTTCCTAGAACACTCACCTAGTGGGGGAAGCTTGTACTACAAGAGGCTCACCTTCCAGAAGATAATTCCATTTGGGGGGCACCCCTTCGTATAACTATATATACTATAGTATCTATTATTACCTGACTTCCTAGTATTTGAGAGCTTTCACCACCTAGAATGCTACCAACCCCTAATTCCTGGCTTCCATGGTTAAGGATAATGAGCCAACATAGAACAAAATCGATGAGATTGATTCAGTAGCATAGGTTTATATCACAGAGCCACTGAGTAATGAAGTGGCACTGGTAGTTAAAAGTACGTACCCTTTTCAAGAAATGGTTGGTTTGTGTATGAGTCTAGATACCTCTACTGGTGGCTCCATGACTGCAAAATGCACCATGCTTGATACAGAGATCTGGTTATGCTCTTACCCCTGGCAGATGCAATGTCCAAGAAAGATGGGGTGGGAAACGTACAAAACTATATCCCTAAATGTACTGTCAATTCCTCCTATTGGGTTTGCTGTTACTCTGGTCCTCAACTTGGCAAGGCAAGTCAGGTACATGGTGTTAGTCAGAACTACCCCACAACCACCAATGGGAAAGTAAGTAGCGAAACACATATTGGAGATTGTCCTACAGACATACTGTACCTTGGCTTTAGCCATTAAGTGGTATATTGAATTTTATTGGATCATTTTTAGTATATACACATTTCAGGGCTGACCAGGGATGTGTAACAAATTTGTGAATAAGATATGACCCAGATCAACTTGAAATGGTGTAACACATGGTTAAGAGCACAAGTGTTAGAAGCAGTATTTCAATTTGTATTGTTTGGGGTTGGCCAAAAAGTTTGTTTGTTGGTTTTGTGCAAAATACCTCTTGTAGTGATACAGGGTGCAGCCAAGGGGGGCCCCCCAAAAGAGGATTTGGAGTGGTGTCCAGAATTCAAAGTATATGGGAATAGTGGAGAGACATGTAGGATGTCCTCACCCCACCCCCACAGGTGTGAGTTGGGGGGGAAGGGACAGTTTTGTACAGCCACAGCCTTGCAGCTAATCCATGGCATTGTCTTTTAACATATCTATAGCCTCTGGCGGTCACTTGGGTATGTTAAATGGCTGTGGCCAGGCTTGGAGCTAGGGGGATGAAGTCACTTCCCCCAAGATGTAACTGGGGGCAGGTCCCCCCAAGTTACAGCGCCTGCGTAGGGGCTTGGAGAAGATTGGCTCGAGGACATGGGATGATTACTGCCCAGACTAACGATGGCAGCCCAGTAAACTTGTATTAATACAGAATACTGGCAGGTGTAACTGATCTTGGGAGGAGTCGGAAATAGGGGTACAGAGGAAGATGGGTACGGGATTTAAGAGCCAGGCACGGCAGCCATTGAGAGAGAGCCACTCGGTTTCAGCAGAGTGAGGACCCCCTCTTGGTGGGGTGAAAGAGGGAGCCACGTGGTTTTGGCAGAGTGTGGACCCCCTCTTTCCCAGGCGAAAGGGAAAAACCACGCAGCTTGGCCAGAATGGAGGTCCCTGCAGCCAGGTGAAGAAGACAGCCACATGCTTTTGGTGGAGTGCGGACTCCTGCAGCTTTGGTAGAAGAGGCCCACGCGGCTTTGGGGTGCCCCCTTTGGCCGCGGGGCCTGAAAAGCAACAGAGACTTTGACTGGAACTGGGTACAAAGGACTCTTGCCAGTGGACCATGAGAAGGTACCACAGTACTTTGGATTAACTCGAGATCCGGCCTGCACAGTGACACAGCTGACGGTGCCAGCGGCCTGCAACACAGACGTGTGCTCTTTTCCTGATTTACGGTACCCGGAGTTGGGACAGTGGGAGAAGGGGAGCGCTGTGTGGGTGTAGGTGTACAACCTAAAGGACTTTGATATTTTAGTGGTGGCATTAGGCCTGAATAGCATTAAATAAACATTTTGTTTCCTTTTCACAAATCTCTGGCATTAAGAGATGTGTTTCCAATTGGCGGCGGACAGAAGGGCCCAGTAGATTTTAGTATTTTGGTTTTTGGGAGGGGCCCCTGTTGTATAGCAGTTTTGGGCATCCCTAGGTGGGCCAAATATTGTATTGCCCCTCCCTCGGACCTCCTCTTGTTGTTCGGTAACAGTAGCACTTAGTTGTCCTTAACTTCATTTGAAACAATTTTGTTAGATTGTATTGTGACAGCTGTCATATCAACATGCTTTTAAAAAACCTTATCGAAGCTGGTAAATTTTCGTGTAGCCATTTTAATATTGAAGATGGAAGAAAATGTGCAATATTTTCACGTGTTATGCTTTATTATTTTAAGAAAGGTAAAAACACAGTTGAAACACACAAAAAAGATTTGTGCAGTGTATATAGAAGGTTCTATGACTGATGGAACGTGTCAAAAGTGGTTTGCAGAGTTTCGTGCTGGAGAGTCCTCACTGGACAATGCTCCAGGGTCAGGTAGACCAGTTAAAGTTGATAACAATCAAATTGAGACATTAATTGAGAATAATCAGCATTATACCACATGGGAGATAGCTGACATAATCAAAATACCCAATCAACAAAGTTACTAGTGAAAATGAAAAACATGTCTTTTTTCAGAAAAAACGTGAACTTTTTGGCCAACCTAATACTTCACCCTCCTATGGTGTAGTCTTAGGAAAGTTATTTAACCTCTCTATTCCTATGTTTTCTCATTTGTAAATGGAGAATAATAGTTTATATCTCACTGGACTGCTTTGAAGAGGAAGCAAATTAAAATTTAAAGCATATTATGTCTGGCACATAATGAATCTTTAGAAAGCTTTGCTATTATAATCAGACTAAATAAATGTGTCTCTATAAAAGGGAGCAAAGGGTCTGCAGAATTTTCTCACCAAACTTCACATGAGGACACTTCTGAAAAGTCGGTATTATCTTTCAGGCTTCACCCAGGTTTCCCTGTGGTCCTTTCCAAGCACTTGGAAACACTACACATTCCTCGCAGTTTTACTTACTTCCAGTCTTGATCTGGGTTCCAAGTTTTTGGTTAAGAATTCCAACTCATATTATTCCTCTCCCTGACAAGAGATTGTCCCTTAAAGAGACCTAAAAGTCTATTTACACAGATGATAATTGTGTAGATAATAAAACCAAAGTACATAAAAACTATTAGAATAAATAAGCAGACTTAGCAAAACCATTGGATAATCTATTTTGATTTCTTGACCATAACTAGAAAATATAATTTAAAAACAATTTGCAATAGCATCACTATGTTAAATATCTACATACCAATCTACTGAATGCATGTAAACCTATATCAACATTATTGGGAGAAGTTAAATATCTAAATAAATGTATTTATAGACCACGTTCATGGTTCAGAAGACTCGCTGTTGCCAACATGTGTATTCTCTCTTACACATGGGAATCAGAGTGTTACGGGAAAATGAAGCAACCAGACACCGAGGGATTCTGGAGTACGAGGTTTATTAACATGCATAGGCCCAGAGGAGTCAGTCTCCAAATTCTGAGCCCCAAACAAAGGATTCTTGGGGTTTATATAGTCTATGGGGTCTTCCTGTCTATGTAGCAAAGCGGGATACAGAAGCGGAATGTGGAAGTTAGTTCTAGCTACCTGGCAGAAGCAGAGTACAAAGGCTAAATGTGGAAGTTAGCTCTAACTGCAGGGGTGCTAGTCCTAGCCCTTGTGAATATCCTGCTGTTTGCTTTCCCAAATGGCCCTATTGCTCTTCCTAGGGTGCTTGGGGTTTGGGTAAACAAAAGTTCTTCAAAGCTTCCCATATCAAGACTGCAGTACAGATCTGCAGTCTGGGAATAGTTCCCAGTCACTGGCTGCTTTGGAGTGCTTGATTTTTCCAGCCTGCAGCTGAGTTCTTCCTTCATTATATTGGTACCAGCATATAGCAAGGGCTCATTAGAAGCCTCTCCTTCTTTCTGGGAAAGGACCAGAGCACTTCACAACAAAACAAGTCTCTTTATACATTCTGAATGACTGTGACAGGACTAATACAAAGGACTGCTGATTTTTTATTAATTTTCAACCTCATAACCCAACTGTATAAAATCTAGATTTTCACAACGCTGAACCATTGTCCTATGAACATTTCTGTCTATAAAGAGAATAAAATTAGTGAAATCAGAAGTGTACTCACAGAATTCCAAAGTGTAAGACATTCATGTATAAAACAAGCTCTAGCCTGTCCTTAAAAGCAAGCAACAAGCACAGCTCCTGGCCTTCAGTAAACCCCTCGTGATTGATTTCTCTCCTTCATTAAGCATTTGCTCAAAACTCTCTGGTTGCTGGCTTACAATGGCTTTTAACCCATCGGTTGTTGACTTTCAAATTCCCTTGTTGGCTTTCTCTTCCTACAGCTTCTTCTCCAGCTTTGGCATTTCCCATTGTTTTGGATGAGAAAATTCTCTCTGTACTAGCAAAATATACCTAAACTATCCAGTCCCTCAAATACTACATTTTTGATAGACAGTAAGTGGAACAATAACCTAGAACAAAAACAGAAGAAAAGAAGGACAAAGAGACATAAGAATTTATTTCAGAAAGTTAAAAACCCATTATTAAGAAAAGCTTTAAAAAATTATTAGTGATAACCACAGGATATCTAGAGCTATGATCAGTACAAGAAAAAGCAGAAATAGATAGTCATACTGCTAGAAGGCTGAGATAAAGAGATGACAGATGGAAGGCAAACCTACTCTGTCTTTTTCATCAAGGAGAAGAATCTCCAAATGGCAAAAGAGAGAATAAATGTGTTTAAGAAAAACTGAAACTCAGGAGAGGTAAGGAGGCAGCAAGAGAGCCCACAGGGGCCTAAAGTGAATTTCTGTATCTAGACCAAGAGGCATTGATTGCATCCTAAGCATTGAGAACCAATGTGCAGTTGAGGTTGCCCAAATGTTTCCAAGAGTCCCATGAGACTGAACACAGCCCACATTCTGAAGAGAGATACATACTAGTTCCTCAAACTACAGATTAGACAGCTAGACACTTTAAGCTATTGAATTTTGATACCAGAGGAGTTTAAAATTTATTTTTAAATTTTACCTGAAGTGTTTCTCATATGCCTGTAGTAAAATGTTAGCATGTACATTAACATACTTCATCATCACAACACTCTGTTGTGAGAGACAAGTATTATTGTTCCATATTGCTTTTGTTGTTTTGTTTCATTTTTATAAATACAGAAATGGAGATTTTGGAGAGATTGAAATACTTTGCATAAGATTACACGATGCTCTCTGTCAGTTCTGTTTTCATTACAACTCTCCAGCCCTCTCCAAGCCCCCTTTGGAACTGAAATGCTGTTATAACCACCTGTTGTTCATTCAGATCTCCAGAGAATTGATTAATAATCAGATTAACAGTAGAGACCATTTTTCTGCTTTGACAGCACAAAACATTTTATATACACATGCAAGAAACATATATTAAAAGACAAATGTGTGCAAAAAATGACTAAAAAAACATTATCTTCTTGCAAATTAAAAAGATGGAAAATCACCCAAATGAAAAACTGGCAAAATAGCAAAATAAATATATTAAAAGATTGTTAGTAAAGGTGTAAATGAAATTAAAACAAAAATATCCGATGGACAATGATTAGAAAGATTTACAACTCATTTTGCTAGCAAGGAGGTAGAGAAATGAGAAGAACCCCAATACACTGAAAGAGGTTGTGAGAAACTCCTCATTCTTTCCAGTAGGCAATCTCGTAATGTGCTTCAAAATTTCAATTAGTCTAAAATTTAATTCATTTCTGAAACTATTTCACTTCTGGAACTCTATCTTCAGGTAAGTTAAAGTAAGTACACAAAGACATATAGCCTAGTATGTATGTGCCATGTTGTTTGTAATGAAAAGATTTTGGAAACAGATGAAGTGTCAATGAATAATAAATACTGAGTAAGCAAATTACCATATACCCATGCAGTGAAATAAAATGCACACATACAAAAGGACAGAAATATTTATTGCATTTAAAATGGAGATGATATATATCTATATTATATATATATGTGTGTGTGTGTCTTAAAAGTATATATCATTTATAGAAAATATATGCATTAAAATTCTAGAAAGGTAAACAATAAATTGCTAATGATGGTTAGCAATGGGAGCAGAATCTCTGGGGAGCATTTGATTGCACTGGACAGTCTTCTTTTTAATTATTGATTTAATTATTGATTTCTTTGAAGTGATATTACCATTTTGAAATCAAGACTAATTAACTGTAATGGGGACTGCAGGACTCTATACTTGTCTCTTTTTCTAAATAATGCCTCAACCCAGCTTAAAGTCACAAAAAAGTCTTGATTAATTTTTGTTGACCCAAAACCTGAAGGGCCAATGCACAGGTAAGAATATTAAATTGTAAAGGTGATCTCAAGTTGGATGATAAATTGGAATTTTTCAAAAGACAATAAAAGTATTCATTCTAGAAATGATTGAAAATGGAAGTTAAAATGGGAGACTTTATTATCCTCATCTAAAAAACCTTAAACGTTTTTGTTGGTGATTAGTTAAATATGAGCAAATAGCATGATTTATTTTCTTGCTAAATTAAAATTTCTAATGGAATTTTAGTCTATCTACATGAAAGAGAAAAGCATGTAGATCCAGGGAGGTAAACCACTTTTTAAATTATTCACTGCTGAGTATGCACAGAAACACCATGAAGACGGGAGTTATTTTTCTTCCCCTTCTATGCCTCAGTCAATACCTAGAATAATTCCTGATGCAGAATAAATATTAAAAGCACATTTTTGAATGAATAAATCAGGAACAGCACAAGTACTCTATTCTCAATTGAACACCACATTTGAAGAGAGAATTTCACAAATTAAACTATGGCCTGGTTATGAAAAATAGGAGAGATGCTTAAAGGACTGGAAAGTCTCCATTTTCCATTCAGCAAAGCAAAGAGATGGACATGTGGTAGCTGCCTGTCTTCAAAGATCTGGAAAAGTGTCCTATGGAACAAATTTCACACTAACTCTGTGTGTCATGAGAGGGCAGAATACTGACAAGGGCTTTGGATTTATGAAGACATATATGAAAACAAGCTAAAATGTTCTAAAACTCATGATTGTCCAAAACCATAAATATTAAACTCTCCATCCCTAGTAACACTCAAACACCACTTCTAAGGAAGTATATGTAGGGCATTCCTGCATCCTCTGAAACTCTTAGTAATAACAATCTGATAGTTCATTCCTTCTCTCTCTACCTGTTGAAAAACATTGCACTGTTTTTATCTCAGCTGAAGTAATGCTAAGTTATTGGAAATGGACTTCAAGGCAGTATCTTTAAATTTCCTACCTACCCCTCCTTCTAGCAAAAATATCATAAGAGCTCCCTAATCCTTTAGTAATATTGAAACTGATATCAAGAGAAGAAGCCCATCCACCTCCCATGTACTTCATGGGCCTGGGACTGTATGCATGAGCACACACATGGGCACGTGAGCACGTGGGCATGTACACGCGCACACAGGACAGGTGTTTTTTATTGAGCAGTATTTACAGCTTTGATTAAATTCGTTTTAGAGACCAAATCATGATGATGTGCTAGCTCTGGTTTTAGAACTTTTTCATTAGAGAATTTAGAGTTATATGTTAGCTTTATCATCTGAATAAAACAATTTAATAAATCAATTCCACTCCAGGTTGAGGCCATCATTCTGAGTAACAGTGACTATAGAAAATTATAGGTTTCTGTCTTGTCTGGGAACCTCGTAAATCACAAGGACAATATACTTAAGGCACATTGAGGCTTCTCAAGTAAGACATATGAAGCTGTTGCCTACCACAGTCTCTGAAGCAGCTATTGTGTGGCTTTTAATGCAAATTTTGTAAATATTTCAATTTTCATTTTAAAGAAGATTTATTTAACTTAATGCTATGTGCTATATCACACACACATATACTCATATACACACATACACACACACAAACACACATATCCCATAACTACATACTTACCCGATATTTTCTCTGGAAGACACATGAGGAGAAATGACATTCATGCAAAGCTGCAGACTGAAACATAGTAAAGGACACTCCGTTGCTATCACTTTTGTTTCTTCTCAGGTTGTACTTTATGGTTTTTAACACCCCTATGAATTACGTTCATCTGCAGGCCAATTTATTTTACTGTAATAGTGTTTGGTTTCTTTTCATCCCTTTTAAATCGTGCAATTTAAATTTATGAAAACTCCTTCATGTAAAGCATGCATCTGGGTGTTAAGGACATCAGGATTCAAATCCTGATTGCCACCCTGCTGCTCATGAGGGCCATGACCTTGATCGGAGTGCACACCCTCTGCTGCTTAGTCCCTCATCAATAAAACAAGGCCATTCGCCAGTGGCTCACTAAGGTCCTTCCAGCACATTCTCTCTCCGTGCCTGTTTGAACAAGAAATATTTTAGATTTGACTGACAACCTAGGTCACCATTATGTACTAAGGACATAAAAGCCATTTAAAATCCTCTGCCATGAAGTTGGATATCTCCAAGTAAAGTTCCCCAGTATAAAGAAGCGGTATAAGTAAGGTACAGATGAAAGTCAAGGAAGAGCATAGCACTAAACAAAAATCCCACAGGGAATGGTAACTTTGGCTAATCCTACACATGAGCACTGGAGACAGAGAAGACTGTGGTCTTAGTCAGGGAAAAGGGAGATGGAATATCCATACCCATCCACCCAAACTCATCAGACCTTGCTTAAGGGGTTGTCCCCCAGGGGGCTAACAATCTCAGGCATTCAGGTCCTGTGCACCTCCACTCACTTAGGTCAACCTTCACCGGGAGATACAGAGGCTGGCTGCTGGGACCGAAAGCACTCGGGGAACTGATGTGCACCAATAAAGCAAAGAGAGCCAAACAACCATGAGTGGAGGATGCAAAGGAGCAGGATCAGGCCCCACCTCCACCCCTCCCAAAATACAAGCAATGAAAGCACGCTAAGTCCTTTTCCCTCAAACACTGCATTTAAGACACGTTTGATAAACGTATCTGAGCACCTGTAGATGCCTGACAGATTATACAGGAATGACCAAAACAGATATAATCTCCAGCCTCATGGACCTCACAGTAAAATGGAGGGAACAGATTATAATTTATGATGATTCTATGAGGTACCATAATGAAGTGAAGCGTGAGAATGACAGGAGGGGTCCATTATAAAATAAGATGGCAAGGAAGGCTGATATGACATAATGACATTTACTCTGAGACCTAAAAGATGGGCACATACAGTCAGATAAAGAATGGAGAAGTCAGGGAGGGAGACAGCACTTAGACAGAAAAGACCATGTGCAAAAACTGATGCTGGAAGCAACTTCACATAGCCAAGGAATCGAAAGAAGGCCGGTTTGGCTGGAGAGTTGGGAGCAAGGTGGAGAAAAATGAGTTGCAAGAGGTAGATGAGAGTAAAGCCTCTTATACTATGCAAATGTATATTCTATTCTCAGTGTAATGGGAAGCCAAATCTAAGGGACAGATGTGATTAAATGGGAAATCATTTTAAACAGAACTAGGTCTCATGTTAGAAGATAGTAGGTTAAACTACAATAATATTAGTAAATATGAAAAGTATTTAGTATCATGAACCCAAATCTAAACATAAAGGAACTCTTTTATGAGCTAACCATTAGATTAAACAAATTGATTAAAACACCAGATCATTAATATGAGAAGACAGAGGTGACAGTGACTTTTCATACTCAAGACATGATTTTAGCCTTTTTTATGGCTGGAGCCATAGGGAAAAGGAAGCAGAAATAAGAGTTGTCCGTGGCAATTCCAAGTGATAAGCCATGAACCAATTCACCCTTAATCCTACAGAGGCAAGAAGAAAAGAGAGCAATACCCAAGAGAGGAGAAAATGGCATGCTCTTCCTTAGCCAGAAAAAAAAGCTATGGGGTATTATACTAACATAGTTCAATTAAATTAAGAAGAAAAGAGAATATAGAAGAAAGTGCCACCCTCATGGCATAATCACTTAAGGTGAATTTCTACTAGGAAATCAAATCAATTATCAAGGCCCTATTCCTTATATAATATTTGTGTATGTTCGTGTGAGGGAAGTGAGGAATGATGATTTAAAAAAGGGTATTTGTAATTGAAGACATTTTAGTGAATTTTATCTTCTAAACTGAGAAACCCCAGGATTCAATCATCAAAGGACAAAGAATTAATCCCTTAAGTACATTGGGAAACTTAAGAAAGACAATGGAAATAAAAGAATCTTGTACTAAATCCTGGAAGTGAGAGAGAATATGGTGTCTTGAAGGAAATTGAATATTACGACTGAAATGTAGGATTTGGAAGAGGCATGCACAAGACATGGGAAATAAGAATGGCTTATGAATGGCAAGCCTTATATGACACGCTAAGGAAGTAGATACTGACTTGACACTTTGATTATCTAATAAAAATGTTTAGCACTAGAACAGCATGGCAACGTTTGCATGTTATGAATAAATCATTTTTTAAAATATTTTATTTATTTATCTTTAGAGAGGAAGGGAAGAAGAGAAGGAGAGAAATATCAATGTGTGGTTGCCTCTCGTGAGTCCCCTGCTGGGAACTGGCCTGCAACCTAGGCATGTGCCCCGACTGGGAATCGAACCGCAATCACGTGGTTTGCAGGCCCGCACTCAATCCACTGAGCTACAGCAGCCAGGGCTGGATAAATCATTTGATAGGAATATACAAACTGGATTTTTAAGGGAAACCAGTTAGAAGGCTATTCTACTAATCTAGGTAAAAGGATGGAAGCTGAAGAATTTTAAGCATGTGAAATTAATGCCACTTGATAATTGACTATCACAGCAAGTGCAGGGAAGAAGGGGACATAAATTAAGGGGTGAAAACCAAGGCTCTGACTCAAATAACTAATAAGAGGTGACAATATTTTTAAAGGTAAAGAATAAGAAAAATAAAGTAATACAATAAAACTTAAAAATAAGATCTGGAAAAGACATGACAATGGATTTGTCTTGAAAATGATCTGTGAAACATTCAGATAAAGGAGAAAACCAGCAAATTATTGAACATACAAGTTTTGAAATCAAAATGGAGATCCTGGCAGTATATACTGAAACTTGCTCATGATAGTTTAAGCCAATCCGATGGGGACACCGGTCCACAGTGTCCACGTCATTATGGATGAAATGAGACATTCACACAGACTACTGAGTCCGGTGGAGGAAAAGGGACAACGTGGCTTTTTCTCTTAAGAGGAGCAAAAGCCACAGCCCTTGCTATGACCGGTCTTTATTGGGTTTCTCCCCACATTGCATGCTGATCCTCATTAACTATGCAAAGGTTGCTTTAGGTGGTTACCTTTCACAGAAAACAAAGGAGCCAATGATGCCGATAATCATCACAGAAGAAGGATCTTTGCAGATGAAAAGGCAAAAGTGGTTGAACTGGTTACACTCATCCTTGGAAGGTTAAGCATGGATTTTAGGAAGTTGCTTTGCAGTACATGTTTGCCACAAATCAGGGCGAAAGAGTTCCCAGCAAAAAGCAAGACACAAAGTGGCCTCGGCACATTGCAGGTCTGATTCCCCACTGGAGAACCTATCCATGGGTGTGGGTCCTGTGCATCTCTAAGTGGGAGCTGGGCCCACACCATGTAGAATGGCCTCCTACACCAATTAACTTCATCAAATCACCCAGAAAATGCCTGAGAAGTATTAAAAGCAGAACCGACAGGGAACATCAAACTGAAATATGAATTGAGGAAAAATAGTTCACTTACAAACCCAGAAAAATTTTCCAGTGTTAGGCAATCGAAGGAGGAAAGGGGATGCAGGAGGGAGTGGTCACTGGGTCCAAATGCTACGAAGATGTCAATGCACACACATTGAGGACTAACCACTCACTGATTAGCAGTGTAACAGAAAACTGTATGAGAAAAACTCAGATTGCAGGGGAAGCGGTGAATAGAAAGATGGGGGGGGCTGGGGACAACTGTAACTAAACAACAATAAAAAGTGAAAAAGTGAAAAATAAATAAATTAGGTTAAATAAATTAAAATTTATGTGAAAAAAAGCATGGAAATGGAAAACATGAGGGGAAACACTATTTTCAAGAAACTAGAAACTTGGCTCTGAAGTAAAGGAGAAGGAATGTTGACTAGACTCAGTTTGTGGAGCATAGGTTTTATGTCTATGCTGGTTACCTACGCAACATCTAGTTTTACTAAAATATGGGTAAAAGATTGACAAAAACTGCAGGTATTCTGCAATGTTACGTTCAATAAAAAATAATTAAATTGTAAGAATTTAAATTTTATTTTCAACTTTTAAAAATGTGTTTGCTAAACTGGAAGAAACCTGAGCACACATTCATTCTGAAGGGAAGACAGGAAATGTCGCAGAGACAAGGGACCTCAGGGACCCCTGGAATGAAACCGTGAGGAGTCTGGAAATTTTTCTTTCCATCAGCAGCAGAGGGGCTGGAAAATGGTACAGGTTTGTGAGAAGCTCTTTTCTCAAAGAGTGTGAAGGTGCTATCCATTTGACCAATACCTGTCGAGTGCCTACTGATAACCAGCCACTGTGGGAGGTTCTAGATGGGCAAATTCAGAAAGGGCTCCTGCCTTCAAGTTGCTCAGAATTTGCAGGAGCTGAGACAGCCATTAACCAAATGAATACATATACATTATCGTACAAAAGTAATAAACAGTAACAAGGTTAGAAGGACATTTTTCTGAAAGAGCGCATAAAATACTTAGTCTACACTGAGCTGAGGGAAGACTTCCCAGAGGAAGATACGATTGAACTAATAATTGAAGAGTAAACAGAATTACCTGGGGAGATGTCATAGGAAAGGTATTCTAGACAGGGTAGTGGCCTTTGGGATGTGGTGCTTTAAAATGCTGAGAATTCTTGAACTTTGAATTCTATACATCTTAAACATTCATTTTAGCAGGAGGGCGGGGATACTGGGCAGCAAAGTGGTCCCTAAAATTCCGTCTTCACCTGTGTGCCTTCATCTCCCAAATTACCCAAGGAGACTTAGGTA